GCCCGGAGGCAGAGAGGACCGGTGGGGCGTCGTGTGGCATGCTGCCGAAGGTGGCCGTGAGGCTGTAGCGCGGCGTCCCAGGTGCTCCTCGTCATTGAGCTGCGCGGAAGTGAAGCGACAACGCGGCAGTGAGGGTGTCCGCGAGGTTGTCGTCCAGCTGTTCGGCCTCTCTTTTGCATGACCTCCTGCAATGTTTTGACTTTTGTGGTGCCGCGCCTGGCCCGCCTGCAGGGCGCTTGCCGTTGACGGGTGCAGCGCCTGAGAACTGAGCCGCGACCAGTTCGTCGAGCTCGGGTGTGATCGCAAGAGCTTCATCTTCGCTTATGACGTCGAGGAACCAGACTGCGTGGTCAGCTGGGTCGTGAGTGACTTGTGCGAGTCGTGCAGGCGTTTTCCTCGCCCTGCCCAAGCTGGTAAACGGTTGCGAGCGCTACAGGTGTGTTTGTGTTCGTCACCACCCACCAAACCACCCCAACCCAACCCGAAGGCTCAGACTTACCCTCGATTTCTAGTGGGGGGGGGTCGGGAAACATAGAAAAAACACGCGTGGAACCCTTACCCCCCCCAACCCGAAATTCGGGTCTTCGGGTTGGGTTGGGGTGGTCTGGCAGGTAGTCAGTTCGGATCTGCAGATGCAGGTGATCGCCTTCCTCTCGCGTGCGGAATGAGATGCTACCGGTGCACGACCTCCCGTGGCCCTTCTTCTTGGGCGCGGTGGTCGCAGGCTACAGGGGCGCCCCAGTTCCGTGCTGCGCGTCACGGCCTGAGGCCTTAGTGTGCGTGCGGGAGTAGTGCAGCACGGCGTGGCTGATTTTGTTGTCTCATCAGCTCGCGCCTTGGCCCACGCCCGTCGGAGCGGTGTCGTTGGTACATCGTGTCGAGATCGGTTTGGCGCTGGTGAGCAGGTTCCTCGTATGGAGCGACTGCTCGGTCGACTCCACCGCTGCTGTGGAGTGCGGCGACGCAGCCTTCCTTTTGGGACAGGGTGCTACCGGGCAAGGTTACCCTATGGCTGCCCTTGCCTGGTGGCTTGGTCTGCCGTGGTGCAGGGGGGCGCACGGCCGTGGCCTTCCGGAGCAGTGGTGCGCGCGCGGGGCTGAGGGGATGTGATGCCAGTGTCACGGCCTGGAAGGGGCCGTGCCTGGTCTCGCGAGGCAAGGACGGATGCGGGGCGCTCGGCGTTCGGGCTCGTCTGAGAAAAGCTCTCGAGCCGAGACCAGAGTGATGACGAGGGAGCAATCTTTCAAAAAGGGAAAGGGGGTTTCACCAGGGCCTGCTACGCACTAGATCAGAGTGAGGGGGCCGAACGGTCATTCATTGTCCCTGGGTGCGTGGCTTAAGTGCGGGTCGGTGGTGAGGATTCTGCTTGTTGCCATATTGTTGTTGAACTCGCATTTTTGAAGAATAGTCATTGGTGATCCCCTCTGTCTGGTGCACATTGTTCTTTCTCGATGGAAGTGCCCTTCCCGGGGCTCGCACCCTGTTTTTTTTTATCAGGGAAAGTCTTCCTGGTCAAACTGGGCCCGTGGCCCCCGGGTTACAACAACAACGGCTCCCGCCTGAGACTTCCTCACAATTTAGCCAGGACCTCCGCTCCCGCCCGACACGTCCGCGCATTTTATTCAGGAGTCGCGCTCTCGCTTGGGACTTCCTTGCAATTTATTCAGGAATCGCTCTCCTGGCGCTCTGGAGTCGCGCTCTCGCTGAAGACTTGCTAGCAATTTACTGAAGAATAGCGTCCTTGCGTTGGAATTCCTTGCGATTTATTCAAGCGCCGCGCTCCCGACACCCAGGCACCCAGGAGTCGCGCTCACGTTTAGGACCCCCTCACAGAGTACCTAAGAATCGGGATCTCGCTGCCCTTCGTGGCCCCGTTGCAGCCCCTCGTGGCCCCCTCGCTTTGTTTCGTGGCCCCATTGCGGCCCTTCGTGGCCCCCCCCTCGCTGCCCTTCGCGGCCCCGTTGCAGCCGCTCGTGGCCTCCTCGCTGCCCTTCGTGGCCCCGTTGCAGCCCTTCGTGGCCCCCTCGCTTTGTTTCGTGGCCCCGTTGTAGCCCTTCGTGGCTTCCTCGCTGTCCTTCGTGGCCCCGTCGCAGCCCTTCGTGGCCCCCTTGCAGCCCTTCGCGGCCCCCTCGCTGCCCTTCGTGGCCCCTTCGCTGCCCTTCGTGGCCCCATATATGTATGCCCTTCGTGGCCCCCGCTCGTTCGCGCCCGTGGTGGCCCTATATGCATGCCCTTCCCCGCTGTCGCCCTTCGTGGCCCCCTCGCTGCCCTTCGTGGCTCCGTTGCTGCCCTCAGTGGCCCCGTCCTTGCCCTCCGCGGCCCAGTATACGTATGCCCTTCGTGGCCCCCGTTCGTTCGCGCCCGTTGTGGTCCCATGTGCGTGCCCTTCGTGGCCCCGCTGTCGCCGTTTGTGGCCCCCTCACTGTCCTACGTGGCCCAGCTGCTACCTTCAGTGGCCCCGCGGTTGCCTTCTGTGGCCCCGCATGATCTGCCCTTCGTGGCCCCCGATCGTTCGCGCCCGTCGTGGCCCCATGCGCATGCCCTTCGTGGCCCTGTTGTCGCCCTTCGTGGCCCCCTTCCTGCCCTTCGTGGCCCCGCTGTCGCTCTTCGCGGCCCCCTCGCTGCCCTTCGTGGCTCCGTTGCTGCCCTCAGTGGCCCCGTCCTTGCCCTCCGCGGCCCAGTATACGTATGCCCTTCGTGGCCCCCGCTCGTTCGCGCTCTTCGTGGCCCCATACGCATTCCCTTCGTGTCCCCGCTATCGCCCTTCGTGGCCTACTTCGTGTCCTTGTGGCCCTGCTGTCGTTCTCTCTCGCTCTCGCTTTCACTCGTCGTCGCCGTCGTCGTCGTCGTCGTCGCCGTCGTCGTCGTCGTCGTCGTCGTCGTGGTCGGTCCCCTGTCCGTCCCTCTTGGGGTCGGGTCGACGGTCCGCGGCCGCCCCGCCGATCAGCGCTGCCGCTGGCCAGGCCGACGGTCCGCGGCCGCCCCGCCGCTTGCCAGGGGACGGCCTGCAGGGAAGAAAGGTATACCCCCCAAAAGGGGTTCGATCGAAGACGAAGAGGGCGGGTATCGAGAGTTTGGGAAATACGCGTTATGGGACACTCGAGCAGATAAGTGTGAACAGTCTTAAAATTATTATTGAATTCTCATTTCTGAAGAATAATTATTGTTGATCCCCCCACCGGTGCATATTTTTTTCTTAATTACTGTGTGCCCCTCGACGCTCGCACCCTGTTTTTTGACAGGGAAAGTCTTCCTGGTCAAACTGGGCCCGTGGCCCCCGGATTACAACAACAACGGTTCCCGCCTGAGACTTCTTCACAATTTAGCCAGGACCTCCGCTCCCGCCCGACACTTCCGCGCATTTTATTCAGGAGTCGCGCTCTCGCTTGGGACTTTCTTGCAATTTATTCAGGAATCGCTCTCCCGGCGCTCTGGAGTCGCGCTCTCGCTGGAGACTTGCTTGCAACTTACTGAAGAATGTCCTTGCGTTGGAATTCCTTGCAATTTGCCCAAGCGCCGCGCTCCCGACACCCAGGCACCCAGGAGTCGCGCCCGTTGTGGCCCCATGTGCACGCCCTTCGTGGCACCGCTGTCGCCGTTTGTGTCCACCTCATTGTCCTACGTGGCCAAGTTGCTACCCTCAGTGGCCCCGTCGTTGCCTTCTGTGGCCCCGCATTATCAGCACTTCGTGGCCCCCGCTCGTTCGCGCCCGTCGTGGCCCCATACGCATTCCTTTCGTGTCCCCGCTGTCGCCCTTCGTGGCCTACTTCGTGCCTTTCGTGGCCCTGCTGTCGTTCTCTCTCGCTCTCGCTTTCGCTCGTCGTCGCCGTCGTCGTCGTCGTCGTCGCCGTCGTCTTCGACGTCGTCGTCGTCGTCGTCGTCGTCGTCGTCGTCGTCGTGGTCGGTCCCCTCTCCGTCCCTCTTGGGGTCGGGTCGACGGTCCGCGGCCGCCCCGCCGATCAGCGCTGCCGCTGGCCAGGCCGACGGTCCGCGGCCGCCCCGCCGCTTGCCGGGGCCCGGCCTGCAGGGAAGAAAGGTATACCCCCCAAAAGGGGTTCGATCGAAGACGAAGAGGGCGGGTATCGAGGGTTTGGGGAATACGCGTTATTGGACACTCGAGCATATAAGGGCGAACAGTCTTAAACTTATTATTGTTGTTGTTGTTGCTGCTGCTGCTGTTGTTGTTTGTTGTCGTCGTCCCCCCCACGACCCGGCCAGCGACCCACCCGCGACCCACCCCGCGACCCACCCGTGACCCACCTGCGACCCAACCCGCGACCCACATACATTGTTTTAGCAGAAACGGCGCTTGTGGCGGGCTCGTTGTATAGCTTGAAAATGTTGCGCCTGCGGCGGGCTTCTTCAGAGCCTCGCAGACTGCAAACGTCCCCGCCGCCACCAACTCTTATCCGCAACTGCGGGGTGCTACGTAATATGCAGCACAGGAGGAGGAGAGGTCACCCGCGCCCTCGCCAACGAATTCGGTCTCTCCCTTTTCCTCGCCTTCGGCTTCTTCTGTATGAGGTGCCGAGGGGATCCCGCTCTCTTTGGAAACGGACGTGCCTATTTTCGGTAAACGGACCCGAGTGACAGAGGGGGGCGGGGGGGGGGAAGAAAAGGAAGGGAGGACGAGCGGGCAGAGGCGGATGAGAGACACCTACCTGACCTTCCTGCGGCGAGCCCCCTTCTGGCCGCCTTCTCAGGAGCATTCTGGAGTCGGCGCGCCCAGGCGGTCTCTGGAACAGGGGGGGGCATTTTCGCAAAGCCCCCGAGGCCCCAAATGGACAGCATTTGGTGGCCCAGGGCTTGGCGAAACTGAGATGGCGGACCACGTGTGCCGGGCCCTTCTCTGGTGTAGGTCGTCTTGGCTTTCCAGTGCCCGAAAGCATATGCTGCTACTGCTAGGGGGGTGGGGGAGGAGGAGGCGGAGGAGGAGGAGGAGGAGGAAAAGGAGGAGGAAGTACACGAGGAGGACGAGCGGCAGGAGGGTCGGCGGGCAGGACGATGGCAAACAGGGCTCCGCCCGCTTGGACGCCGACGACGCGGAGTTGGAGGCCGAGCTTTTCGGGCACAGCGACGGTGATGCTCCAATGCCTGAGGACAGGTGGGTGCCGCCCCTCTCTCCTCTCTTTCCGTCTTCTCCCTCTTCCTCCTTTTTCCTTCTTCTTCGTCCTCCTCCTCCTCTCGTGCACATGCCGGACTACGACGCCGTCGCCTCCGCGAACGGCGACCTCCCCGCCCTGAGCGGCCCCGCGGGCCCCGCGGGGGGCGCAAGCGGCCCCAGAGGAGGTTGGATCCTTCGCCTCAGGGACGTTCGCTCCTCCTCCTCTCCTCCTCCTTCTCCTCCTCCTCCTCCTCCTCCTCCTCCTCCTCCTCCTCCTCCTCCTCCTCCTCCTCCTCCTCCTCCCCCACCGCCTCATCATCATCATCCCTCCCAGGCGTGCGCATCCCCTTAGAGCGATGCACCCGCGCCTTTGCTCCCTCAGTCGTGCGCTTTGCAGCTGCACCTGGATATCCTCCCTGGCCTGCGCGCGCGCGCTGCCAGGGGATCCCCCCCCGCCCTTGTTAACGCGAACGCGTTGACGGTACTATTATCCAGGAGTCGATGCCGTGGCACGGCGTTGCGCTATTCGCCAGGACTCTCAGTTGGGCGCGTGTAGACTTTGTTCCCATCCATCCTTGTGCGCCCAGCACCGCCTCTACCATAGCAGCAGAGGAGCGGTTTCAATGTTTCAGGTCAGCTGGTCTGGCGCCTCTTTGTTTCTAGGCCTCCGAGGTGGGGTTGGAGTTGATGGGGTCGGAGGATCGCGCCGCATCGCCGATGCATCGACGAAACGGTTCGATGCGGAACCCGACTTGCTTCACGTCGACGTCGCCACTGCATCGCCGTTGCATCGCCGATGCATCGCCGATGTATTGGCGATGCGGCGTGATCCTCCGACCCCATCTACTCGGACCCCATCTACGAGGCCTCTAACTGCTCTGGCGCCTCTGTGTTTCAAACTGTAGCTCATGAAGATCGTCGCCACTGTGGCTGCGGAGGCCGCGGAACCAGCCTGGGCGCCCGCGGTGCCGCCATCGATAGCGCTGCTGCATCCACGGCGCGCTGCCCGCGCCGCGCTGGACGCCGCCCTGTGCGCGGTCGCCAACACACAGTCAGTCCGCACAGTAAAGATGAGCAGCGTTACAAGGTTACTCTCGCATCCTTCCCTCGAAGAAGAAAACCTGCATAAACAGAGAACTTGTGGCGTTCCGCGCACGCTGGGGAGGGGGGTCCAGCGCTGATCCAGGAAATCCGCGCGGAACGCCAACAGTTTCTGTATATGACGCTTTTCTTCTTTTGCCTTCGGCCCATCCTTGGCCGCTTTCGTTGGCCGCGCCCCGTTCGCCAAGTGTCGACATGGCCTTCCGAGGCCCTTGCATCCCTATCGTGCGTCCTTGTTGTACGGGTTGACTGTGCGGCACTGGTCAGTCAGCTGTCTCGTTGCACCCGGCCGCGTGCGCTGGGCCTCCGCTCTTCGTCGGGCGCCGCCCCCCAGGCCGTGTGCGGGCTGGCCTGTGGGAGTATGCGGCAGGAAGGCGTCGGCGGCTGGTGGTCGGATCCTCTACGGATCCGCCCGCCTCGTTCCAGGACGTCAGGAGTGGACCGCAAGTCGATCGCTTGCAGAAAAGGAAGCCGTGCCTCGCGCACGCAACGGAGAGGGCACCGACTGACTCGGCACGTCCCTCTGCCCGTGAGCGTGGCGATGCCGTTCTGCGTCGCATCCGGAGCATGTGCGACCAGGACTGCAGCAGTGTGGCCGCGCTCCGCTAGTGGTATCACAGGAATGCCCGCGACCAGCGCCGCCATCGAGCCTAAGCGTGTGGCTGCTGTAAGCGCGTCGGGCGCAAGAAGGACGATCACCGAACGAGGAAACCAACGGACGCAATGTGGAGCAACTACATGGCGACCGCCGGCAATACTTTGTGCTTGCAGGAGCCCATCATCTACGACGGCGCGCCGATCGTGGGATCCTCTTGGGCCGACTTGGGGCCGTCTTGGGGGCCTCCAGGGGCGTCTTGGAGCTATCTTGGAGGCCTCTTGGACCTTATTGGGTGGTCGGAAAGTTCAAAAATTCAAGAGTTTCAAATCCTTAGGACAATTACAGGCAATCCATGATTGTTCCCCCGTCAGGCTCTCCAGGAGGCATCTCGGAGCTCTCGTCCTTCTTGGAAGCCGCTAGAGCTGTTGTTGGGCCGTTGGGGAGCCTCGTCTGTCTTCTTGGGCCATCTTGGACCGTCTCGGCGTCATTTTGGCTGTCTGGGAAGCAGTCTTGAAAACCAGCTTCGCCGTCTGGAGGCGCCGAAAAACATTTTCAGGGGGGTGATGTTTCCCCACATCCTAAGTGGGGGGCTTGTTGTCTCTGGACACACCGCGCAACAACAGGAACAGGAACGCACCCACATCATCATCATCATCATCATCATCATCATCATCATCATCATCATCATCATCATCATCATCATCATCATCAGCAACATCATCATCATCATCAACACCATCGCCCCCTCTCTTCGTTACTCACACACGCAGTCCCGCACAGTCAGGCTCATCATCATCATCATCATCATCATCGTCATCAGCATCAACATCTTCATGATCACTCAGTCCCTCGCTCACACACTCACCCACTCATCATCATCATCAGCACCATCATCATCATCATCATCATCATCATCATCATAATCATCATCATCATCATCATCACTACCATCATCATCATCGGCATCACTTCCACATTCATTCACGCTCACACACAAACGCACTCACGCACACACACACACACTCACACGGCCACACACTTATGCATTCATCTTGAGGAAGTCTAAGGCGGGAGCCTCGTCTGTGAGTGAATTGTGAAGACGTCTCAGGCGGGGGCCCCCTCCCTTGGAGCCCGCACTCAATGTTGGTAATCGGAACGGTCATCCAAAGGCTGTAACTGTCGTCACTTTTTGGCCCCCCGCGCTTGAATTTTGAAGAAGCCTCAGGCGGGAGCCATGCTTGTGAGTGAATCGCGAGGGCGTCTCAGGCGGGAGCCCCCTCCCTATGGAGCCCGCTTTTTCATGTTGGTAATCTGAGCGCATCATTCAAATCCTGTAACCGTCATCGCTGTTGGGCCCCTCGCGCCTGAATCTTGAGGAAGCCTCAGGCGGGTGCTTTGTTTGTGAGTGAATTGCGAAGAAGTCTCAGGCGGGAGCCCCCTCCCCATGGGGCCCGTGTTGCATACTAGCAATCTGAGCTGGGCATACGAAATGCACCACTCGCCAATTCTGGGTTCCCCAACCAGGCTTGAAACTTGTGAAAGTCTCAGGCGCGAGCCTCCTCTTTGAGTGGGTCGCGGAGCGAGTCTTCGGGATTTCGTAGTTGTCGTCACTGTTGGGCTCTTCAGGAACAAAGGGTGATGCGAACCCTCGCGGGCCAATCCTGGCGGGGTCAGAAGGGCCACTCGGTCGGCTGAACCCAGTCCCCCGACGCTGCGATGGCGTCACCATCGACTGCGCCAGGGAGGGGGACGCTGGTCGCACGGGCATGTCGGACGAGCAGTGGTGGCTGCACCTCCGGAACATGCTGATCCTGCGGCCGCCCACGCGAGAGTTCCTGGAATGCGGGCCGCCGGCGTCCCTGCTGAAGGCGCTTTTGAAGTTCGACGAGATTTCGGGGAACTCCAGAACCGAGGCGGAGTAGCTCGCAGCACGGCTGGGCGTCGCGCTGCCCCACCCCTGAGCGCGGCCGCGCCCGCCCCGAGCCCCGCGGGCTTGTCCCAACGGCCTGGACCGCGGGGTTGTCCCGACGGGCCGCCCGCGCCCCAGCGGCCCGCGGGGTTGTCCCGGATGCGTGGCCCGCGGGATTGCCCCAAAGGCTTCACGATCTAGCCGTCGGCG